GGGGGGGGTTCTCTCCGTCCCATACCTTGCTGCATATGTTGAAATCACCGGCAGCCAACTTACCGTGGCGAATACAGAAGTAATACAAACCTAATCCTGGTGTCAGTAGTTACGATGATAAGTGAGCCAACGAACCCCTTTGTATTCGGCACGATAAGGTGGCCGAGCATTGTGAGTCCATTATTATTACGATGTCCGTGGTGCGGACGCGTATTTGGGAGATGAGAAAAAAAATTTTTTGCCATATTAATCCGCCCTGACAACTACTAATCTGCCTGTGCGAATGACTAATCCACCTTGGCGAAAAAGTCTGTCAACCCGTTTTTTTTTGTCATGTCCTAAATGTACTTCCGTACCGTGGTCGAGACGAGTTGCTTTGCAAAATCCGCGAAGCGCCCTCTCGGACTTGAGCCTTTCAGCGCTCTTCAGGTAGACGAACAGAAAATGAGCGCGATACGTATGCAGTACATGAATGCTGTCATCGAGAGGAACTGAAATACAGTACGCGTAACTGGAACTAATCTGGACGTCTGACTGAAGGTAGGCCCACAGATTTAAAAAATGATTACGCTCATGCAGATTTGAGGGTAGTCTACATGTACTTGATGACAAGATCTAGAAGGAGTAACACGCCTACATACACGGGCGTTTGTTCAATTCTAGGCTATTATATAACGCACAGATGTATGTCCCGTCCCGGAAATGGCCTACATCAGAAACATAAACGGGGCACGTTGAAGCTGAAAGCCCGTCTGCTCATTATTTAATTGAGGCATATCCCTGAATGAGATGTGTCCAGGCCTGGTAATATGTTACACATTCACCAGCGGGTGAAGTCAGAGGGACGAACGTGACAAAGTCGGGAAAGGCCTGGTGGTTGATCTCCTCTGCACTTCATGCGCCGGCGACATCAACATGAACACAGCGCACCGATAAGGTATAAGTGTCCATGAACATGTACTCAGCAGCCCCGCTAGCGAACATGCTGTGGCTCCCTCTTCCCGTTCGTGCTTTCTCTTCGAATGAGGGGGAAGAGGGGAAAACATCTCTATTAATACGTGTAGCAAGGTTGATAAGATGAATTCCACTGTAAGGCCTGTGGCAACAATTACTTCGGCAGTCCAAAATACTTGTCAAATCATTGTCACGAGGCAGCCTTCTTGTTAAAGACTGCCCATTATGGGATGGTCACTGACGTGCCAGCACTTATGATTCTACTGGCTGTCTTCCTTCAGCTTTTGTGTAAGAGGAGAAATACAATTTGTCAGCAATCCGAGTAATTCCACCGTCTTTTCTTGTCACTCGTTCTTGCATAAAGGCAGGCCACAAGAATAACTAAGTGCCCAGGATATGAATACGTTGGTGGTGAGAACTGTTTGAAATCGTTCCAGAATTCAGTATTCAGTGCGTGACAGTTTTAATTAAAAACAGTGTGTTGATCCTGACTCTTTTTTCCAGGAACTGCACAAGACCTGCACTGTATCGTGCAGGTTTAATAATAATGCTCCCGGGGGAGGGGGCAGGCTGTAGTAACAAATAAATATTAGCACTATTGTTTCTACAGCCGCGTGTATTTTCTAAAAGGTATTGGTGGTTGGAGTTTACTTACAGAACGAAATGGGCAACCACCTTTCCAAGAAGTGTAAAAATTCGGAAACCCCTTTTCGCAATACGAACATTCTTACAATGGTTTAATTTGGCGGATGGGTTGTTAATATTTCTTTTCAGTTTGATTGTACCTCTTAGTTAAGGAGGTCAAGTTCACGAATATATTCAGTTGGATGGCTGTTGTAATTTTGAAATGAACTGAATTCCATTTTCAGGTGTATTGTTCGTTGGCTGGTATTAAAGTTGAAATTAAACCATTGTTACAGTTTAGTCAAACGCATGAGTAAATACACTCGAATAAAACGTGCCCACTCATAGAGTCCACAAAAATATTCGCAAGAAAAAATTATATAGTTCTTTAATTGTGATTAACTGCCGGTAGAACTGAAATGAGTACACTTTAGTTCATAATTTTGTTGGCAATCCCAGGAGCACTCATCACAAGCGATCGGCTCTCCCTGGACCATCCAAGCGTGAGAAGATCGCAATTAATGAAACGGCGAGAGAAATACTCCTGTTGTGGGCCGTTGATATCACTCAGTATCGTGTAATATTTGTGCCTTGCCGGAACAATGCTCACAGAATGGGGTCAGCTTGGCCCCTGGGCGATGTGCGATGAGTTGGGGGTACCATCCCCTTCTGTGTCTTCGTCTTTAGCTCAGATTTCTCGCCCGGCTGGCCACACAGTACGTTCAGTGAGGCAAATAACCTCTCCAAAAAGCACGATTTCATTTCCCGTAATTTCTTTAAATAACATTGTCTTTTAAACTGAAGGCAAATGAAACGGGCAATTAACCCATTCCGAGGCTGGTTCAGTTGGAATTGGAGGCATGCACAGAGTTTGTTTTATATAAATGAATTACTCTAGCATAAATTGTAAAATACACGAACCGATGCATGGTGACTCATTGTGGAGTAATTTAATTGGTGGAGAGCGAAATGTACCAGGTTTTTATGCATTGTTTGGTCTCTTCGGAAGAGACTGTTCTTAGAAAACTATATTTTCTTAAAATTTTGCATGTTGACAGCCTTATTTAAAGATGCAGTCACTTGACCAAGGAGTTGGTCTCCTTGGCGTTGAGCTACTGATCTGAATACCTAACGTGAAAGGTTGTTATATAATTATACGCTTGTTAGCCCGTTTGAAATTTCAACTACTTTTCTGTCATTGTTGTTTCCTAACACTGCTGTATTCACGTAACGATGTACACATTAACAATTTGCTGAATTCACGAGGAGAACTACAATTATAATCTTAATTAGTAAATCATTATACATTTTGATTTTCGTCCTACCAAATTTTAAAGGTGAGAGGTCAGAGCATGAAACCATATTGAGTATGCTTCAGGTGGTTTCAGTACGTTGACGTCTGCACCTTGTCCAATACAGAGTTAAGTGCGCTATAAATCTTTGGCTGAGTTGCTATCAAAGGGTAGATATTCTAAAGCCGCCCTCGGTATGTCATCTCACTGTCAAATTGAAACGATTCGGTCACTTAATCTCGCACAAAAGAGGATTCACCTTTACAAAGTTTTTTCTTTTAATATAAATTGATATGTTGTGATCAGGGAGACGTGTGAAAGCAATATCAGAAGAGCATATGGGTGTTTGAGAGTGAAACGGCTGTAGTCACTTTATGATTATAAAAATGATGCGTTGTACATGTACTTTTGCTTTTCTTTATTATGGTGAATAGCAGCTTTTATGGAGTACCTGCATAAATCCCCGTCATATAATTGGTGGATCGTTGATCACATGACATTGAATTATTCGTTCTTTTCAATGGGTATTCCGTTAAGTAGAAGTTCATTTCACTTTCCTGGTTCCCAACCACATTTCATCATTTCATTCAAAAAATGTAAGGAGGGGAAGCAGTCTGGCATTTTACAAAGTACCTTTGGGTGTTGCTTCAAACACTAATCTGTTTTGCAAATTAGGGGACGTAATACACGAGGACCGTAATTTTTTCTCCGAACAGAAGAGGATTTATACAGGTATTGTATTTAAAAAAAATTGAATGTTTCACATTGGTGCAGTGGTAAGAATAGTTTCTTTCGGTGATTGCATTCCACTTGGCTCCGCCTTGTGAAGTTATAGTTACCATTACACTCATAAACACTCATTATTTTTATATCTGACATCTGTATCTATTTTTTCTTTGTAGCGTTTTATGTAATAGTAAATTGTTTGCAGGTTTTCCCATGACAGTGCTTCTGTGAGCTTCCTAAATTAGTATATAAATAATTTAAGAAATCTACAAAAAAAAGTGCTATATAAATATCTAAGAAATCTACAAGAAAAGTGCATTAGACTGAAATATATGAGTAAATTGTGTTACTCTTCTTTTTCGGCAAAAGACTGATCCGATGACAGAGGGCACTAATTGCGAAGCGTTTTGTAGGGATATGTGAAGCAGCAGGAAACAATCTACGGACGTGTCCTCCTTTGCTACGACCAGATGCATGTATATCACGCAGGTCCATGGGAAATAGCTGCGGTGTGATTTGCAACCGCGGTGTAGTAATTCTGGCCTTGAATACGAAAGATCTAAGGACAATGGGTTATTAACTTCGTGAATGATTATCATGATGCGACCTATTTTCTAGTGATGGTTAGAGGATACAACATAAAAACAGCTTTTGAGCTTTGTTCACTTTGCTTTTTATATAGAGGAGGAATTTTAACAATCGGTCGTGCTCAGTTGAACAGGCTGATTGGTTTCACTGATCTCACGACTCCATCGAAAAAATATGGCTTTGTTACACAACAAAATTTACCTAGGGAAACGTGAGAGCACTGGCGACAGTTTGTCTTACTATCACCATGGTCGAAGTGCATGTTAAGACGACTCCCCGAGTCTCACACAGTTCAAGAGACCATGCATCTCAGTGCTGTCATAACTGCCATTTTGATTGGCATTGAACGTTTTGAGGTATAGGGATGGCAAAGTATGTTTCAGATGTCTGCTTATTTTGACACCTTTGTACAGATCGGTGGGAAGAGGGTGTTTTGCACTATAGGGATCATCAACAGTAACTAAACTTGCCATGAAGCTATGATATGTTTGCGAAACGAATACCGATCGCGAGTATAAGTCGCCCCCATTGGCGTCTCTCGAAGAGTGCGTTACATTACAATGTAAGAGACAGCCGCAGGGTGAGGTCTAGCATTTAAGACGCCTTGCTGCTGACATCTTCGTTTCACGATTTTCGCTATTGCTGTGAAATTCAGGGTGCACAAAAAACCTCTAAAATCACACTGTAAACACACACCAATGTCGAGACGTAAACGAGACGTAAACATGATTGTTAAATAATCAACTATAGTCACAATTTCAGTCATTCTTTTTAAAAGATCGGATTGTGTCAGCAAACAATATTTAAATCTTCTATCCGCATGTTTCTTTGCTGTTATTCATTGTAGGTTTGTATCCTATGTAGTTTTGTATCGTTTACTATAGGCCGGTGCAGGTTTATGTAATAATACAGAGTTACAAGACACCAAAGATTTTCGTTTTTTCTTTTTCTCTGCTTTGCTTCGAAGATAATGTTGATGTCGTATCAGACTTTCCCTTTAAGTAGCTGAAATGATAATGGTTGTCAAGGCATTAAATGTAACGTGGCGCCGCGTGGGCATATAAAAAGTCGAACAGATAAGTATGGTCCGACTGACAAAGAAACCAGCCATTCATCACTGTGCTAACGGATGAGTCATCCTTGCAGTGAAAAAACAGTCTCAGGTGTTTGAATGCCCGAGGCTGCTAATTTGACTTATATACAGAATTACATGGGAGAAGAAAAGCGCATTGTACAAAATAACAATTCTTAAAAAGCGCAACACAATGTTGAGCAATCTAGAAGTTCCTTGCATTGGATAAAATTACGATAACAGAAAAAGAAAAAATATTCCAATTTTTTAAATATGCAATTGACATTTTTAAAAAGTGAAGTCAATCGTTTTCCACACCCCAAAAATGCGAATAAAAAAACACGGTGGGGCTTAACAGTTGAAACCTCAAAAGATAGATCTCAGGTCTCATGCAACTCTTACATTGTATGTTTTTGGTTATAGTTCCTCGGTTCATGTTCATACATGCTGGTAAGACAGTGTCGCGTCGGTGCCCGCAATAATTATTATAACATCGCATAGCGTGCATCGATTTCGCCATATAACCTGCAGACCAAGTCCGTGATATTTAGCCTCTGATAACCCTCGCACTGCCCCGGGCGCTGCCGGGGGCGCACGCGTGGCGGTGAGACGGACCACAGTCGTGCCGGCCCTCGTGCCTAAGCACAACAAAATCCATATTTTCCCCGTTAAATTTCGGCACATTTCTGCATCATTTCCACCTTTCGGGGGCTTTGGTGCGCTGACCCATTATCTCAATTAAAGGCCGGGTGATGCCACGCTGGACTGAACTCAAATTCATTTAATACTTGCACGCCGCAAACGAGGCATACTTTATGGGCATTATGGCCACTCCAGTGACTATTCGCACTGTGCTGGGCAGATCGTGCAGATCATAAGGCAGAAGTGTAGAAGAAGAACAATGTTAAGTAAGCGGCATTGCAAAATTAAAAAAGAGGCATTTTCTTATCAGAATGTTGTGTTATAAATTACCGGAACAAAATCAGACACAAATGCAAATTATGTATGCTAAAGGGTATGTCCTCGGTGGTAACTTATTTTGTCAGTAGCCTGTAAGGTGGAGACAGGAACAGTAAAACAATAATCAAGAACAACCAGCCTGACCAACAACTGATCTTCTTTTCTTTCTTTCTTTTTTTTGACATAACCTCTGTTGACTGGAAGATGCATCTCTCACTAGTGTGCCATGGAGAGTGTACTTCCCATCTCCACTGGATTGTCAGTGAGAGTTTAGTAGTTTTAGGCTTTGGACGAATCCGGTAACCGGGGTACGGCAATAATTGGTTATTGGCCCCACCAATCGCGGTAAGCAATGTGATAAATACGGAACCATTCCGTTACAGTCTCTTCGCAAATAACCCAAGGCAATGCTTTCTGTCATCCACGGGGGCCATCGAAAACGTTCAGTGAAATGTTGCCAGATCGTTGCAACAACAGAACATAGAGCATCAAAAAAATTTTTTTCCTCAGCACTTTGATAAATACAGCTGCGCTTCGGCTTCTTACAGCATGAAAAAGCTTGTGTCTGCAGCAGCCAAACAAACGACATTTGGCAATTGCTTGCAGTGGAACGCGGCCCCATATCGACACACGTGATCTGCGGTCACTGGCGCTAATATGAGAGCTGGCCGGTCCTGTCAGCGCTATATCAGTTGCAACAGTCTACGACCGTCTATTACGCACGAGATCACGTTTCCCAACTCAGTTGTCCCACGTAGCCGTTAATCTAACATGTTAGTTTCCTGTGTCCGCTTGCTAGATACATCCTGGTACCGAATAAGGCCGTGACGAGCCCCGGGTATTTAAAAATAACTTCCGTTTTTACACACACAACTACCCATTCATCAGTCAGGCTTTGTGAAAGCCAGTTGTCCGTGTCGCGCCGTGGCTACAAACTTAGCGGGAAACTTGATCCGGAACCTGATGCGGGCAGGACATGCGGATAAAGTCAACTTAATTTACCAAGCCAACTTCTCGCTTGAGGAGATCCGTCTGCGAGTTGGAGATTTCAATCTCCACGACATAAGGGACCGAGATGCAAACAACCGTATTAGCTCTGTCCCAGTAAACAGTTTCCCCCTCGTTGGATGGCCGTTGCTATCGCGAAATGAGGAATTGACGAGCATCCACGCTAGCGTGATGGCACTAGTTCGTGCTGGATTTACCCTGACGCTCTGTCGCGCCGGTGCGCGCACCTAGTTATGCGTCTCAGGGTTTGGAAAGTTGCGCGCGCGTGCGTACACACCGACACAGGGAAAACCACTGCATTCAATGACCCCCTTGCTGATTTGGTCACATAGGCCTAGACGACAAATGGGTAAAGTTGGATGATCGATATGGGGGGGCAGAGTTTGCCTTATCCCGCAGATCCTTCCAGAAAAACAGGCCAGCATTGCTCGCCTCGCCGGCGACACAGATCAATCTCTGTTGGTTTGCGGAAGGCCGAACGAAGGGATATCCATTTTAGAAGAAATGGGGGCTTGGAAGACAACATTAAATATTTGACCAAAACTTGGAGTCCAAGATGAGCGTGTTGCGTTGCTGAAGGGGACTAGTTAAGAGTAAATTGCCTTCCAATTATGTAATTATAGTCGATCTATATTTCGGAGACGGCATCACTGAATGAATTGCGTTTATCTTAACAATTCAGGGAAGCAGAAAGGAAATTTGTGGGGTGGCAAAAAACCGTACGGACTAGGAAATTATCAAGAAACCCTAATTTGACAAGGAAGACTTCGTGGTAAAACAATCGCAGCTCAAAAAAGATATACGTGTAAGCACCATGTTATATTGATTTTGAGCAGTCTACCTGACTGCATTGACGGTCTCTGAGAAGTACTACAGCTTACCGGGTGAAGTAAATTGAAGACGACGGAGATTCTCATTATCTGCCCCATGTCATCCTTTCTGGCCGTTTACTCGAAAGTGAAGTTAATTGTTAGCCAAAATTATATTTCCTTTCATTTGAAAGTATTATTATCTAGAGATCTGTGCCTTATCGATTTCAGAGTCTGTGCATGGTAAGGAATATGGTCCATGGTAAAGAATGTGTAGCAGACTTGGTATTCACGGAAATAATCAGGTGCATGTACCAATAATTCAAAAGTGCGTTTATAATGGTAACTGTGAACCCTCGCTAGCTGTAGGCCGCCATATTGGGTATAGTTACGTTTAGAGGTACATGTACACAGACTTGTAAGGGCTTGCACGTACGTATCTGTACTTCCTTTTTCTCATGTCTCTGAAAAGCTCATGTGTCGTTTTGGAATAATATTCTCACTGATAGTCTGACCCTAGGCAGAATGTTGGAGAGCCCAGTGAACCGATCACCGCCTGGTGAAATGCC